GTTTCCTGATGTCATGAGCTGTGTGGTTGGCAGTCTGGTGAGCTTCAAGTTCCTGGTGTACCTTGAAGCTGGAAAAGTCAAAGACAGTGACCTTAGCCAAGAATCACTGAAACATTAAAATACTTGACTCAGACTTTTAGCTAATGTGCATTTCTAACATAAACTTTTCTGAACTAGAGCATAGGTTAACTATCAGCTTGGCTTCTCTTTGGAACACCTTTTTTCCAAAAGGTTGATCAGGAAAGCAGGAGAGCAGGAGGGAGATTCGGCTTTTGCTCTTAACCCTTGAGTTTATGGATACTATTCATAGGAGTGAGAAAAAACTTCTTAAATACCCTTTTATCAGGGCATGGTTTCAACCTCATCAAAAGAAGACTTTAATAGTCAAGTTGATAGCATGACCCATTCTATGGACTCCAATCACTCCATTTTTCCACCATCATATAATGGGCTCAAAAAATTAGTGGACATGATGGCAGGTTAATGTCAATGGAAAACTAGAGCAACCCAATCCAGACATAATGACTAAAGGTCCAGACTCTTCAAGAATGAAGGTTTGGCTCACCTCACCAGGGAGTGAATCATAACCAACTATGCAGTTGCTATAAGCAAAGACAATATAGCATGGTTTGTAGAAAAATTTGTTGTAAATACCAGTTACAACCATGTGACCAGTTACATAAATGAGGTCTTTAGTTGTCATAAATATTCCTTCCATATTTTGTTATGAATATGTGTGTGTATGTATTAAGCAAATATATTATTTATCTCTATTTCCTTATCATGTAATATAAGATGTATTGACTTTATAAAATTATTTAAATATTGTTTATTTTATATCACAGAATTTTAATCAGGGAATACCAGCAAAAGAGTAAACAATGCTAAAGGACTATACTTTCTCTTCTGGGGAAGGGATTAGTGAGTTTCCATTTGCATGCAGGATAGTTGTATTGTGTACAGCAGAGCTATGATCTTGTTATTGTCTTTATTTGAAGATTAAGCATGGTTTAAGGAGATATACGTGGGTGTTAAGTTGACAAATGGTCAG